CCCCCCCCCCCCTTACCATGTGCTCAGATGCTATTGGCAGGTATGTATGACGCATACCTGAGTGGCATGGGTAGAGGTAGCTTTGTTACTCCTTGGTTTTGCGGTCTTTGCAGTAGCTTCTGCAGCAGCGCTGGGTGACGTAAACACAGATGGCCAAGTACACGCCATGATCTTTAACGCCTCCTTGCCTTTCTACTTCAGTTTCCCTTTGCTTGCGAAGCTCACATCTGGTTTGCCTTCCTTCCTCTGGCCCCATCCTAATCATTTTTTATGCCTTAAGCGCCTGTTGCTTTCAGGAAGCTTCTATGGGCCTCTCCTTACCCCCCTCCCCTACTTTGTGCTCTCATGACCTCCTGTGCATATCTCTACCCATGTGCATGACTCTAGCCCTTAGCGCCTTTTATTGCTCTTGACTGATTTTGCATGCAGATGGCAGGTGTAAAATAGGCATTCAGTCAATGTTTGGTGAATGATGAAATGAAATATTATTATTGGAGGCAGATTTTAAAGTGATTTGAGAAATTCTTTCCTGGCCAGTATTGGAACTTGTGCAAGCATAAGCCTCCTTAAAATGAGAAGATGAACACTTATGTTGCATGGTGAATTTTGTACTTATCAGTGCTTATAATAATTTGAATGTTAAAGGTTTAATAATTAATGAAACTTATATACTAAAATAAGTTTTTCCCTTGCTTCGGAAGGATGCTGAAGTGCACAGTGAATAAATACCAGAGCAGCTTTCCATTATCAATAGGCTAAGAAAACATCGTCCACGGAAATGGGAAATAGGGGAACTGTCTCCAGTAGCTCCATCTGTTGACTAACTTCCTTTAAGCAGTTTTGGATATAATTTGTTAAGAGATTCTCTTAGAATCCTGGAATGTTGACCCTGAAAATGACATTCATTTAGGCCCCCTGCCTCAATTTTATGGTTGATGACCACGAGGCAAGGAGAAGTAAAGTGATTTTTTTCCCACCAAACAAAATTGCATATTAGTGACAATCAGTTTAGAATCCAGATCAATAATTTTTGTTTTGGAAATATGTATTAGTGAAATTTACAATGTTAAACAGATTGAGTGCTAAAGTACCCTGCAAAAGAAGAACCATCATTCCATTTACTGGAGTAGGATGGATTGGAAAGTTTGCCCTTAAGGCATATCCCTTAAATCAGCCGTTTGGATTCTGTTGAGCCCAGAAGAAAATTGCACAGTAGATGATGTTTATTACAGTAGATTTGGACTAACTTATTTTGCCCCTAATTGCTAAGGATTACTTCCTTAATTACTTATTTGAAGTGTTGCAAAGATTTTTGAAATGTTTTCTTTTTATTGCCATCTAACTTGGAAGACCAATTACAGAAAAGCATTTCAAATGTAAAGCAAGAGGAATGTTTCAATTTAAAGATTATGTCCTCAAAAGAGAGGGAGGGTTTTGTTCTAATCAAACAAATACCCAGATGTGAGGACAGTGTAAGAATCTTTTGCTAAGTGATCTAATTACTTCATTGAAATGTTTTCAGGATGAAAATATGATCAACTTCATCAAAGGTGGACTCAAAATTAGGACAAGTTACCAAATATATAAGTAAGTTAAAAATTAAGATCTCATTGTTTGTTTATTTATTTATTTATTTATTTATTTATTAAGATCTCATTTTTAAATGATTCTTATACTGTGTCCCCTTTGTACTTTAAAAAATTCTCATTAAGTACGACTAGGTTTTTTTTTTTTTTTTTTAATTTTTTTTTTCAACGTTTATTTATTTTTGGGACAGAGAGAGACAGCATGAACGGAGGAGGGGCAGAGAGAGAGGGAGACACAGAATCGGAAACAGGCTCCAGGCTCTGAGCCATCAGCCCAGAGCCTGACGCGGGGCTCGAACTCACGGACCGCGAGATCGTGACCTGGCTGAAGTCGGACGCTTAACCGACTGCGCCACCCAGGCGCCCCCGACTAGGTTTTTTTTTTTATTTGGTGTTGGTGAAAATGCACTTGGTTTTTGGCTTACTGAGTATGCATTCAGTGCTATAGGACAACAGAGTTTAAGTTTAAATACAATTTTGAGAAAAATAGCTGAAAAAAAAGTGCTACTAGCACAATTTCTAATTACATAATCTTAGTTTCTCTCTCCTAAAATCAATTTATAGATTTAAAATTACAGGTATGTCTTTGGTCCAGACTAGAGCAGTGCCCTGCTTGATAAAGTTTTCTGCAGTGATTTAAATAGTCAATGGAGGTGGGCCATAGTGTTGTTCATATGTTCTGTGTCCTTACTGACTTTTACCTACTTGTTCTATGATTTGTTCATGGAGTAAAAATCTCCAACTTTGATTCTGGAGTCACCCATATCTCTTGTTAGTTCTGTCAGTGTTTAGAACCTTGGTTATCAGATTGATGTGTGTTTTAATTGTTTTGTCTTTCTAATGAGTTAAACTTAAAATTTTTTTTTTTAATGTCTGTTTTTGAGAGGGGGGCGGGCAGAAAGAGTGATGGAGACACAGAATCCGAAGCAGGCTCTAGGCTCCGAGCTGTCAGCACAGAGCCTGATGCGGTGCTTGAACCCACGAGCTGTGAGATCATGAGCTGAGCTGAAGTCAGATGCTTAACCGATGATCCACCCAGGCACCCCTTAAACTCTTAATCGTTATGAAATATCTCTACTTAACTCCTTATGATTATTTCTTGTCTTGAAGTCTGTTTCATCTGATATTAATGTATTTATTCATGCTTTTTTTTATAATTAGTGTTTACATGTCACATATTCTTTTATTTTAAGCCTATCTTTGTTTTAATATTTAAATTGCATTTCTTATAGAGGCTTGTAGCTGGATCTTGCTTTTTTACTCAGTGTAACAAATGATATGTTTGTACTTGTGGCTGCCATTTTTTTTTTCTCTTGCCTTATTTGGTTTTCCCAGTTCTTTTTTGCCTTTCTTTGCTTTCATAAAAATTTAAACATATATATTCCAGTGTAATCAATCCCTCTATTGTTTTCTTAGCTATAGCCCTCTTTAATTTTTTAAAGGTTGCTCTAGTGATTATAAAATCCTTCTTACCTTACAACAGTCAACTTAGAGTTAATATTGCACTGTTACCCCTAAAACATAAGAACTTTGTGGAAGTATAATTTCATTTGCCACTTGTCTTTTATACTATTCTTATGATAGTACACTTACATATATTATAAACCTCACGATGCAGTGTCACACTTTTTCTTTAAACTATGATATCTTACAGATTTTTCTATTTACTCATATATATAGTTACCATTTTTGGTATTCTTCATTCGTTTCTGTATACTTTTGGACTGAAGAATTCCTTTCAATATTTCTTGTAGTACATGTCTGCTTTCAATAATCTCTCCATTTTCATTTATCTGAAAACGTCTTCATTTTTGAAGGCTATTTTTGCTTAGTACAGTATTCTGGGTTACAAGGTTTTCTTTTTTCTTCTTTCACCACTTTTAAACTGTCAGTCCATTGTATTATGGCCTCTGTTGTTTCTGATCAGAAGTCAGCTGTTGTATGTATTACCAGTGTATCATTTCTTCTGACTGCTTTGAAGACTCTTGTACCTTTGGTTCTCAGTAGTTTGCAACGTGTTTAAGTGTGCTTTGAGAAATTGTGGCCATTATTTCTACAAATATTTTTTTATGCTCCATTTTCACTGTTTTCCTCTTCTTTTAAGGTCCAATTACACATATTAGTCAGTCTGATTTTGTTCAACAAGTCACTGTGGTACTGTTTATTGAAAAGCATGGTTTTTTGTTTTTTGTTTTTTTAGATTGGCTCTCTGGGTCATCCTGGAGTCAGTTTTTATTGCTTGCTTTTTCTCTTGACCATATGTCATATCATTTTGTGTCTTCTCTTGACAACAGTATTTAAATTGTGCACTAGGTATTGATTCATTATAGAGACTCTTAATTCTATTATCTTCTTGGAAGAGTGCTGATACTTGTTCTAGGAATCATGAATTTGACTAGACTTAGACTCCAGACTCTTGACTCTCTACAAGAAGGTAGCACCTGAAGTCATGGCTCCTTTATTTCTTCTGTCTTGCTCTTGCTTTTGCTTTTCTTTGGAGTCTCTCCAGTATTCCAATAGTTCATGGGTCCAACAAGAATTTGATCTTGGTTTTTTCCTCCTGTGTGGTTCTCCCCTATCTGAAAATTTTTCCATTGCCTCACAGCCACTCTGGCAGTCTTGAACTCTGTACTCTGACTTTTTAAGGCAATAGGACTGTGTGGCTTTCTGTATCAGTTGTGGGCACCCCATATTGAGTGGACTGGAGAGTACTTCAGCTGACTAGCCATGTAAATGTGAAGTCCATATGAGAGTTGTTCTCATCTTTCAAAGGCTAATTCTTCTCCAGTTTTCTCCTACTTTTTGTTTTCACTTTCCAGTGCCTGAAAACACATTTTAAATGTATATTTAAGGGGCACCTGGGGGCTCAGTCGGTTAAGCATCCGACTCTTGGTTTCAGCTCAGGTTATGATCTCACGATTTGTGGGTTTGAGCCCTGTATCTGGCTCTGTTTGGGATTCTCTCTCCCTCACTATCTCTGCCCCTCCCCTGCTCACTTTCTTGGTCTTTCTTTCAAAAATAAATAAACTTAAAAAATATTTAAATTCTAAAGTTTATAATTGTTATCTGTGAGACAGTTAATCTAATACAAGCTAGTGTGTGTGTCATTACTAGGAGCAGATCCCCATTAGTGCAGAACCAAGATTTAGTGTTTTAAGAGATACTTTCAGGGGCGCCTGGGTGGCGCAGTCGGTTAAGCGTCCGACTTCATCCAGGTCACGATCTCGCGGTCCGTGGGTTCGAGCCCCGCGTCAGGCTCTGGGCTGATGGCTCAGAGCCTGGAGCCTGTTTCCGATTCTGTGTCTCCCTCTCTCTCTGCCCCTCCCCCATTCATGCTCTGTCTCTCTCTGTCCCACAAATAAATAAAAACGTTGAAAAAAAAAATTAAAAAAAAAAAAAAAAAGAGATACTTTCACACAAAGTGATTTAATAAAATTATATTCCATTCAAAATCGTATAGGTGGGGCAGAAATTTTGGGAATTGACATTTTGTTTTTAGTTTTCCTCTTGAAATACTTTTTATTTTTTATTTTTAAAAAAAAATTTTTTTTCAACGTTTTTTATTTATTTTTGGGACAGAGAGAGACA